TATGGGGAAAAAGGCTAAACTGGTGGTTGCGCGACAAATAGAGGGGGAACCAATCGGTGAAAGCGTCCAAGTTGACCATGGCCCCGGGGGATCCCTCGAGTACCACCTCATTAATTGATTAAGAGCAAAATAAGATTCTCACTGGATCTGATTGGTGGTTCTGCAAGGTATTATTAACTGTTACTCTTTGCTTTAGGGATGATTATTACACCCTACACCAACTAAACGCCTCCCAAGATAACTGGTTATCGGGGGATTCACTACTGCCACTGATAAGCAAGACCAAGCCACCCTCTCCCTCTCCTCTCCTCTCTGCTTTAGGCTCCCGGCACTGCGTCTTACGATGGGCATGTTGTAACCGCTTCTGGATCCACTTGGATTTTATTCAGAGAAAATTATTACTGCTAGACCGTCCAGGAGAATTTTATCATTTAGTTGTACAAGGGCAAAAAGTGATGAAAAATGATGAAGCAGTGCTTTCATCATCTACTCCAAGTTGACTGATGGCGCACAATGCAGTCATACAGCAGACACTGACGAGGAAATCCAGCCTGACCCGGGGAAATAATAATGGAATTGAAATCACCTCATCATCAGTGACGGAAGAAGGTAGCATTTTCATGATTTAAGGTTTCCACGCCACTAAGCTCGTTTATTTCCGAACCAATACCACTGTCTACTACCCAGTAGGTTAATCGTGTGATTCCAAAGCGACAAAGCAGAAGATGGGTATTATTTTCCTGCCATCATGGTTCATGGTTCATAATCATACTAACCCTGTGTATGAGCTGAGTTTCAGGGATGTGGTGATACCCAGTAGGACTGCTATCTGCTATCTATCGGGCTATCTTGGCTTCCTGCGGTCCATGGACCCCAGGGTTCCGTTCTGGGGTGGAGACCCGCCCCAAACAAATCCACCCTTATCTCCGGTGGTCATAGTAGTGTCACTTTGTACCTCACCTTATCTCTGCTTCTTCCCCAGCTAACCGTTTCCCTACCTTACTTATCTTATTATCATGGCACCTTCCCACCCCCCTGGTAGTGTCTCATCGGGGGGCCAAAACCACGTACATAATAATTCGTAGTCAATCTTTGCTTCTTTTCACTTTTTATTTCAATCTGATTGCGCTATTCTACTCCAGAGTATCAGATATCTGCTTGGCATCCATGTACACTGCATGGAAGGTAGTAGTCTATCCTCTTAGCATTTCGTATTATCCCACAGTAGGAATCCGTCCGCTGCCGCCTATCATAATCCACGTGTCCCGCCTCTGTCCGAATTATGACAAGTTAGTCCTTACTAGTACTATCTAAGCTAACGCGTAACCTACAGGGGAAATTATCTACACTACTACGAACAACTCTCCTGCAACATATGCTTTAACTAAGGTGAATTAGACCTCGTAGGAAATACCCCCCCTCCCCCCTCCCCCCTTCTTCTCCTGCTTCTAGTACAAAAAGGGGCCTTGCGAGAATTAAAAGAGCCCTCCAAAGTACTAGGAAGAAGCGTAACGGGCTGGCAGGCGCAGGCCAAAACTAAATCATCTCCGCACCCACAGAATTGACGCGGCCGGGGTTGGGACCAATCAGGCCGCGCATGCAGGGATGTTGATAAGCCCTCGCTGTGGTCGGTTCGATGAGTTCATTTTCTGCCTATCAAGACATTATCCACTCCCCCAATAGCCTCCCTAATAGTAGTCTACTCCGTCGTTGTCCGTCGCTACTCCCTACGTGATCAACAAGTGCAATATCCATATAGAGCCACTATGTTATACAGCCGCGCTCAGGTACATCACTCCTGATGCCTGTGTCATGATGGCGCAAATTAAGAACAAGGTAACGAAATATACAGAGCCACTGACGGTGAGTGCAGTAAGTACTCGGGAGTTCATCTCGCACACCTCGACGAAGCAAAGGTCACTATAGTAATTACTAGTTGTGCCACCTCTTGCCACCCTTTACCAACTTCTTTTTTCTTTTTTCCACATCATGATGCTTTGTATTCCTGTTCCTCAAGGATCCTGAAGGAACGTCCGGTCATTAGATATGACTGGCTACCACCCCTTGCTTATTCCAGACCTGGCTGAATTCTGGAACGTCGTCCTGTCATTTGGCTTCGGTTCTCCTGATCGATCGGGCCTCTAAGCTTTTGCACTACACAATTACCACCCGCTCGTTCGTCCCGTCGCGTCGCTGCTAGTAGCAGGGGAGGAGGGACTGAACCCATGGAAGACCGATAGAAGCTAGTTGGAGTTTCTTTCGGCGCGATAGCCCGACGAGTCCTGCAAGGCTAAGCCCACGCCTCCTCCCTCGAGGAACGTTGAATCAGGATGTCCGAGTTGCTGCTTAGTCTATCCTTTTCCTACAAAGTCCTTCAATCAGGATTCCAGTCCACTAATTAGTGGCAAGGTCGGATATCGCCGGCTCGTATAAGCCCCATCCGTGGTTCGTAGTCAGGTCTTCCTTTTACGCCAAGGGGTTTGTTTATTTGCCTCTTGCGGAGCTTCTTTTTTCTTTTGTTCGTTGATTTTGCCTCTTGAGTGGTGCCATCCATTTCCAGAGAGAGAATCAATCTATGGCTCAGGTCTTCACATGACATGTCAGACACCGATGGCAATATTGGGAATAGCTTCGGGCAAAGTACAGCCGTGTGTGCCATGTGGCCATGTGAAATGTGGTGCTACTGTGCTTTCGAAGCTGCATGTGGTAGTCTGACGCCTGAGCCGCTGCTCCGTTCGAGCTATCGCTCTGGTTGCTGCGAATGCTCCGACATGCAGCCCTGCCATGGTAGTTTCATAACAGGGTGTGTTATACTACGGAACTCCCTTCTCAGAGTTGTGAGCTGTTCAGTGTGGAAAGGATTTATGATCAACATGCCCATCGCAAGGCTAGGAAAAGCAAAAACCGCAGCACATCTTTATAGTCAGCTGAAGAGACTCGAGAGATGAGTACAACATATTATCCAGGACATGCATATCAGCACTTGTAAAGAAGCGGAGAATCTCTACTACTAGCACGAACAATCTGTGCCTCCGCCCAGAAGTACTGTGTACTCACACACCGGCCCGGTGGTGCCAGTCCGAGCAAAAGATCTACAACGTTTTGTTTGGTCAAGCGACTTGCAGCTGCCAGCAAATGAAGCGCTGGGGTTGCCCAGCTGTGCGACCGGTCCGGTTACGTGCAGGAAGAGCTTACTGGAGACAGAGCCAGCTAGCTGGAATGGAGCCTAGCGCTGATACCGAGGTCAACGTTCGAATTACTGATCGAAGAATAGAATCAGGCTGTGCTAGCTCTAGACTAGGTCTATGCGCTTTTGCTCTGTTGTTTTAAAAATGCCCCTCACTGCATGGGTAACGAATCCAGCCAGATATTGATGGAGTTATTACTACTGTGTAGGCTGTTATCCAGGGGGATAATCACGCCGCATAACTCTACGAATGCATCTAGAATCAACAAGAACGGAATGAACATACATATACAAAAGTCCCAGCTCAATACTAACCAAAGTACTCTCTCTCTCTCTCCTTTCTGTTCCCGAAACAGTGAGTAGTACGTAGTAAGTAGTATCCCGGCCCTCGGCAGAACCAAGCAAGAAACCCCCAAACCCCGCAAACCACCCTCATCCAGCCGACACTAAACAAAAACCCCATAATTTACACCTCGCAAAAGCAAAAACAAAAAAAAAAGATTAAGAAAAGTAGTATAGTATTTACGTAACATCCATATCCATCCCCATCACCAAACCACGGCTCAAATCCAACGCGAATAAGTCCGACAACTCACAAACATACGTTGTTGTATGTAAGTAGTAAATTAAAGTTATATGAGGTGTATAAACTTCTCAGCTGACTTGACACCGCCCACTTTTATTAGTTTCTCATTTTTGCGGGGAAAAGAATCTGTTACATAACAGATTCATTTCCATTCCCGCTTTCTTCAGTCTTGAGCCTTCGACCCCCGCAATTACCTGTCATGTCCCATGTAAGATTATGTATGTTACCCCGACATTAATCTGACAGCCTTGGGTCTGGGGGTTGGGGAAAGTCTGGGGTAGACTAATTACTTTGGTAGGTTGGGTTGATGCGACGCTGGCGGGTTTTATTTGGGATTGTGGTGGTGGTCGTGTGGGGTTGGAGTCGGGTGGGGTTTGGGTTTGGTTTTGGAGGGATACATTCTGGAAGCTAGTAAAGAGGGACTGAAGGTCGAGTATAATGCCTATCTAGGCACTACTACTCATTTCATCTAGTAGTGAATAGCTAATTAGGTGGCTGTTATTTGCTGCCGAGGTAAGAGAAGAAGTACCGCGGCATATTTAGGTTTAGAGCTGCTACTTCACTTTAAGTTCTTGCTCTTCGGCGAGTTGTCTACGTCACTACTGTTAGCCTGTTGTGTACAGTACATAGTGAATTGGCAAATGTAGTACAGACCTACCTCATATTGCATAGCCATTGCTATACAGCATTTTTATACGCTGTTGTTCTGAATAGGAAAGTTGTCGTGAGGGTGTATTCTATTGGAGATATCATGGATAGGAGTTTTACTTGTGCGCTTGTTCCTTACTGAAAGAGGCTCATTCTGTAGTAGAAGTAGTATGGGGTATGTGGCTTCTTTAGGTGGTAGTTTAAAACTTATGCGTACTAGTATGTGTTTTCTTTTCCATTGACCCCTGCACGATGATATATTTGGTGTTTGGTCCAGGCGCCCCTGACCTGTACCTGCGTGAGGTTGCTTGCAGCATAAGCTATGTTGCATAGGGCGGTACCTGAGCATGTAGTCTCGGGGTGTAAGTAAGTACGGTAATATGTGGCGATATATGAATGATTCTGGATGGAGTAATGCTTCTTCCACGTGATGTGTAATCCTGATCTTGTTAGGATGAGGAACAGTATCAACGGCTCGATTTCAGCAAGAATGTATGAAGGAAACTACTATGTTATGTTGGAACAACTACATCATGTTGCATCTATAGATCTCAACGCCTTACTAGCCAAGGACTCGGTGTCAGAAGTAAACTCCATCATTACTACTGTCTATCTCAATCATGAGCGTTCATTCTATTACCATTTTGACATATCAAAGAAGAAGAATCGTGGATATCATGACCTAAGAGCTACCGACGGGTCCCTCACCACCGGGGATCAACTGAATAATAACTAGTGTCAGTCTGGAGCATAATCAGTAACACAGGGGTATGACTGCAGACATACCATGCAGACGTTGTTTCCGTTCAACAGAATCTTGGGAAGCTTCACTTGAGAGCCCGAGTAATCGCTATCGCATGTTTAGTAAGATTTCTTGCTTCACACATAGGATAATGGCTAAGAAAAGAAGAGCCCCAGAGATAGGAGATCTCCATCCAGATAGCAGATAAGGTGACTTACAACTCAGTCACGTCTTCCAGAACCATGTCTGCAGCAGGTCAGTTCACGCACATCGTACACCACGACAGGAGAAATACTTACTGACGTAGTCATCGAATCCAAGCAGCGTTCCGGCGAATTCTGAATGCATGTTAGCTATCTAGCTTATCGTCTGCCCCTCCCCCGCAGGGAGATGTTCATGCAGACCTTTGTCGTTCTTCATGATGACCCATATCCTGGATCCGACACACTTGTCGATCAATTCTGTCGCGCATGTTAGTAAGCAGATCATCACAAGTACGCCATGTATACACGGCTTCTGACAGGGTCATTTACCAAGAGGAAGAAGTTGTGACGCCATTGTGGATTGATTAGGTTATTAAGCAGCTACTTTCAACTCAGCATATATCCCTCAAGACACACAATCTAAGTCCATAGACGACTTACTGTTTTTCTTCTAGGTGGAAACAGGAGCCCCTTGCCTAGATCTAATATAGAAAATGAAGCGGGCGGACTGACGAACGGATGCTGGAATGATTCCATCCACACAATCTTGGCGGGCCCCGGTGGCAGAGTTTATCCGGCCCGGATGGCTTCCCCCAATCAGATCTACAATCCCGCTCCGCTTCATCGGGGTGATTTTCAGGTACGCCCTGTCGCGTTGTCGGTTTCAAGGCTGCTGAAATTCAACATGATGTATTAATTGAGCAGACTGTTATGGTTCTATATTCGTATTATGGACTTCTTCCAGTTAGTGTGCTTTGCGTGACTTGTAAGACTTGACGCGATTTATAAAGACCGGTGGCGGTGATAGAAGCCGGCGGCAAGCGTCACTTCATAACTAGTTCTTTTGATCTGGTCTACTATGGCTCTCCGCGAAGCAGCTATGTCTCGGTATTTCTACCCTATTTCATGACTGAACAAATGCTCATGTTTATTCTAGCTCGGCCAATGGATATAAGTGCATACGCACTCTGCAAAACCAGGCTGCCATGACAGCCACTCGCTCAAGGTTGCTGCGCAGGCCGTACGCCTTGATTCAGCATATGGCGCTGAATGGCTCAATAAGCAGGCTGTACTCTGCTCTGAACAGAAGTAGCTGCTTTCCACGTTCCAGCTCGAGAAAAGATGAGAGACACGCTTCACAGAGCCTACCTGAAATAAGGCATCTCTCTTCCAGGGTCGACAGTCGGTCCTGCGAACTTAAACCTCGGCCTTCACAGGCCAGCGACACGACACTTTGCAATCAGACTTCTCCATATACGTGTCGCCAAAATGCCGTTTCTCATAGCCACAGACATATAACCTATCCATGTACAGCACAAGAAAGATGCTATAGCTCGAATACAGTCCCGCGACCAATGATTGAGCATATAATCGACAGTAAAGACGTCGGAGAACTCCAGACATCAGAATCACCAGTATTACTAGCCAAGTCAGAAACACTGAGTGCAAGCAACAATGACATAGACGAGCCTGCCTCAGAAAACCACCCAGCAGGAGAGTCAAAACCAGTCCTCACACCCGCCGAGGACCTCCCAACACCCAAGTTCTGGAGCCACACCATGCTCAAAAGCCCCGAAGGCAAAAACATCATCGTCCATTACTGCAAAACACTCAAAAGCAGCGAAGATGTCGCGCAACTCTTCCTGAACGACAAGATCCTCGGCTTCGATATGGAATGGAAAGCGCAGGCCTCCGCCTGGAACAGCATCCAAGACAACGTATCTCTAATCCAAGTCGCGAACAGAGAGCGAATTGCTCTCTTCCACGTCGCCCTCTTCAGACCAGGCAAAAAGCTCAGCGACCTCGTCCCTCCATCTCTCAAACAAATCATCGAATCTCCAGACATCACGAAGCTCGGAGTATCAATCAAAGCAGACTGCACGCGTCTCCGCAAGTACCTCAAGATCGACGCGCACGGGATCTTCGAGCTTAGCCATCTCCATAAACTGGTCAAATACTGTCAGAGTAACCCGAAACTCATTAACAAACGACCTGTCAATCTCAGTGAGCAGGTGGAGGAGCACCTGGGGCTTCCGTTAGAAAAAGCGGAAGATGTGAGGTGCAGTGATTGGACGGTCTCTTTGAGTTATCGTCAGGTGCAATGTAAGTTCTCTTCGTGTACCCCTCGTGCCGACACATGAATAACGCGTGTATGTGTAGATGCTGCATCTGATTCGTATGCTTGTATCTGCTTGTTCGATACTATGGATGCAAAGCGGAAGGCCCTCGACCCTCGACCACCTTTACCTGCTCATGCGGATTTGGATCTGCCTATTCGTATTGTGCAGGAGCCGACCACGACGATGGTCCCCGATGATGTCGAGGTGGTTAAGCCTTAGTGGATTGCTTGAGATAGAGCGACGATACAGTGGTTTCCACAGCATATGCCTACTCCCGCGAGGAAACAGGTTAGTTGCTAACTAGCTTATGCATAGAGCGACTTGATATATTCTCTGTGGTTGAAATGACTAGATTTCAGGGCCATAAATCTCGCATATTGGATCTATATAGATCTCAGAGCTAGAACATGATATGATACCCATGCTAGAATCAATATATACAACAGTTTCATCAGAAACTAAATAGAAAGTCAAGTCATTTACAATCGAGACTGCCAAATAATTGCCTCTAGAATGAATGGGGTATAATTACAGACAAGAAAGCATGATACAGTCAGTCATGTATATAAACAGCGCTGTAAAGTCATAAAACCATCAAAATCATCCTCTCAAGGGCAGCACTTTCGACAAGAGCACTTCCTGTCGACAAAGCGGGCACTCCGGCTTCTCCCGTACCCAGTCCCGCACACACGTCCAACAAAAGACATGTCCACAGGTCGTGACACTCGGATCTTTGAACAACTCCAGACAGAGCGTACATTTGCGCTGCTGTCCTTCAGGGATCCAGGGGATCGCATGGGAGTCTTCCGAGAAATCGTACCGGGCAGCAGAAGCCGGAAGGAGAGGAAGCGAGGAGGGGTTTTCAAGTGACGGTATCAAGGAGCTCCCATACTGTTTCATATCACCATCTGCTTCAAGTCCACTATCTTCATTCCCCTGTTCTAGGTCGGTCCCAACCTTCTTGATATGCAGGATGCCCTGAACAGCGATCTGCAAGACAAGCAGCACACCCAGGACTTCATAACCGACCCGTTGTTCACCCTCCTCTACCTTTTTCGTGAAGACATACCGCAGGCCCGAGAACCGCTTCGAGAGATGATAGTAAGCGCCCGTGAAATAGAACGTTGCGATGCTAACGGCGTATATGGGTGACAGCGACGTGATGGAGTCCAGATGCTCGAGGATGTATTTCTGGATCCGGAGTTTTGTGAAGAAGGATGGTTTCTTAGACGACTTGTTATCCTTGGCTTGCTCCACTGCTGTCTTCTTGGCTTGAGATGCTTTGAAATGTTGTCGAGCGATACTGCGTTCCAGCTTCGATCGCAGTCGTTGTCGGAAAGCGGGGAGAATTCGCTGCAGCGTCCAGGGCAGCAGGATACTGCTGAGGATGTACCCGGCTCGTCTGGGGAGAGAAGGGAGCTGAAGGGTGTCGTCTTCTAGTTGGACCAAGTCGCAGTATTCTTCTCCTAGGGTTCGGTTTCCGATGAAGGTGGTCAAGGCAAAGTAGAGGATCTCGGTTAGGTGTTTGATGGCATCGGAGTGGGTGTGTGCATAGCGAGCTCCGCGAAGAGAGCGAACAATTGAATGGGCTTGGCTTGTCAAGCTCCCTGTCATGAAAACATCCTTTTCATGCGACCGAATGATGTCTGGGGAGGTAGCGAAAGGGTAGAAATGGGCCGAGGGAGAGACGGACGGTGTCGGAGCGGAGGTAGTTAGGGAGAGATCTTCGTCGGCCATTGTGAGGGAAGTGGGAGAGTGCGAGAGGTGGTGATTGAGAGAAAGAAGAAGAAGACAATATGGGAGAGAGCTATTCCCTCGCTGAGGCAGCTATCATGGCAGGAAGAATTGAAGAAAGAGAGGGAGAGATAAGGCGCGTGGGATTGTATAGCAGCGCCGGCATGCAACAGCGGATCCCCGAAAGGCGGAGGAGCAACGCCAGTGCCTCGGTAATACTCACGTGATGCTCTAGACAACCGCAACGTGACCCCTATCACATGACTCAGCTCACGTGCTAAGGGTCAAGTCCCAAAGAGGCCAGGCTAGACCCAAAGCGGGACCAGTGCGCGTCGTTACAAGCCGGAAAGCCGCGCGGAGCCGCTGGGCCCCGTCCAAAGTGGAAAGCCGACCTGAAACCGGCGGTCCCTGAGCTTCTTCACTTCCCGCTGCTTAAACTGCTTCGCTGGTCATGATTTGAGTGCCCTTTGTGGTCGTCAAACCTCACCCCGAGTCGCTCCTTGAACTTCCCCCCCCTCCAACCCCCCTCCTCCCCCTTTGCCTGATCAGTCACTGTCGCTACATACTCTTCACTACTGGCTCCGTGCCTCGAGCCTCCCTCGAGTCACTTCCGAATCTCCCTCTCGGTCTCCCTCTGGTGCTGAATTCCCGGCGCCGCCGTCTCTTCAATGGAATATGGGTGTCGATCAACATGCTCAATTGGATCGCTTCAGTCTCTTCCTCCCCTTCCCCTATCGCGTGGCGGTGATACTGCTGGCTGGTATGCTACCCCCTTGGATGATCGCCCCCCTCCTCTAATCCCCGGCATTTCATTTAGCTGACATTTCGTTATCGATAGGTTTCTGGGGTTGGGGTGCTAATCTGCAGTACCTCCTAAAGGCCAATATTGTGGGTGATGCCCCTCCCTCTTCCTCTTCATCCTCCTTCCTTTCACCTTCTTTTGTCTATAGTTATATACATTCGCTGACTGGCTTCTTCTTAGGATGTCCCTGCCCTCATTAAATACCCTGCCCGACAATCCTCCAGTCAACGCCCGCATTATGCCTCGACATACCAGCTGGCCACTCTCCTGACCATCCCGCTCGTCGTCTCCCTCCTTATCTTCTGGCCCGCCACCCATGGCTCCGCAGAACGCGTCGAAGCGGTGGAATTCATTCCGCAATCATACTTCTTCATAGGACTGTTTATTCTCATCCTGCCCTTCTACCGGATCGCGCGCTCGGGCCGATATCGGTTCTTCATGACCCTGAAGCGCATCAGTCTTGGAGGTCTGGCGGAAGCACAAGATGGCAAATTCGGGGATATTCTGCTGGCAGATGCTCTGACAAGCTATTCGAGAGTCCTCGCGGACTTGGTTGTTACCTTCTGCATGTTCTTTACCACGGACGTCTCCAGCACGTCCAAACCTACCCGCAAGTGTCGCACGAACGATTACGTTGTTCCCTTGATCATCGCTTTTCCCAGTATCATTCGACTTCGTCAATGTCTCATCGAATACTTGCGTGTGCGTCGGGCTACCCAGCGTAGTCAAGTCGCAGGCAGCCAGGGTGGCCAACACTTGGCTAACGCCCTGAAGTACGCCACCGCGTTCCCGGTCATCATCCTGGCAGCCAAATTAAAGAACTACAACCCTCTAGACTTTTACGGCTACAGTGAGATGAGCCTTTCACGGCTCTTGTACGTGCTCGACTTCTCTTTCCTGCCTTTTGCAAATAGCTCTGTCTAACCGCGCTTCCTCTGTTACAGGTTTTTCTTTACATTCATCAACTCCGCATACTCCTTCTACTGGGATATCACCAAGGATTGGGATTTGACCCTCTTCTCTTCGGCACGCCACAGCCACGAACACCCATACGGACTGCGCCGCCATCGCTACTTCGCCAACCGACAATACTACCTCGCGATCATCATTGATCTGGCCATCCGTTTCTCCTGGCTCTCTAGATACGTGCCCGGATTTGTCTGGATGAGTGAGACCGAGTTTGGAATTTTCGTACTCATGTTCTCTGAGATTGCCCGTCGTTGGATGTGGGTTTTCCTCCGCGTCGAGGCCGAGTGGAGTAAGTCACCCATCCATCACACAAGCACGTTACCGTGGCACCTTCAACTGACTCGTGGCACCGAAAACAGTCCGAAACAGCCGCGGTCCTGCCCCCGACGATATTCTCCTTGGCGAGTTCGGCGGCAAATTGGACGCAGACTGAACTTATACAACCTTGCCGCATCTTTCTAGACAAGGCTTCTCTCCCATTCTCTATAAACTGACATGACTTTTCTGTATCCAACATTGTAGCCAGCATTCATCGTTATTGTGATTACGTATGTAAGAACATATTTCTTCCTTCTGCCTTTTATCTCTTGCCTTCCACCCTTTTCTTGGCTTGGCTTGGTGCGTCTAGAGCCCATCCGGCCCGTTCACTTTTTTCAAACTTGATTTGATTTGGATTGGCTTGGTTCCGTTCCTCTTACTATACACTTGTCGGTTCTATACACCCACACACCTATATTTACTTTCCCCTTCTCTTCTTCTTTTTTTTTTTTTTTTCATTCTTCTACTGGGAGGCGGAGAGGCGTCTGTATCATATTATATTGGGCAGGAAGCTAAGGGAAAGGGAGTGTTGCGGAGCAGTTCTTGTGTTGTTTCGTATACGCTAAAACGTATAGTATAAATCCTCAGTCTGTTTTGTTTCTTTTCTTCATTTCCTATATCTTTTACTCCCTTTTTTTTTTTTTCTTCTTTGCCACTCTCTCTTCGGGTTCCTTTCATTCCTTTCGTTGTAGTAGCTTTTCTCTTCCATTATTTATTGGGTACCTAGTACCACTCATTTTGGTACTGTTTGGGGGTTGAGGAAAGACTGCGGGTTGGTCATAGTGCTGGATAGTATGATAATCGGGGCTGTCGTGGACAGTGCACTCGCTCTAATTGGTAACTAATACTAATGGTGATTATTAATAAGATGCTTGCTTTTCTTTCGCTAATGGAGGTAGTTACAGTAATAGCATGGACGCTGAATGGAAGGAATAACTTAAGTAATGATAGAAAGGTAGAACAATAAATCACTAGATAAATGCTCGTTGATCGTGAAAGGGGCTTAGCTGACATAATAGAATATGATAGAATAAAATATACAATAGAGTAATAAACATATAAGTAGGAAAAGAAGTTCAAGATAAGAGATCTGTATAACGGAAGAGATGCGAAATATACAACACGGTAAAGGAGATAATGGAAAATGAAGAAAATGAGAAATCGTCGCTCGTACAACAGCATCGATAGGTCATATCAATGTCTGTTCTGAGGCGTATTGTGGTTATCGAACAAATCTTCCAGATATGCACTTGGTGTGCGACCCTGAGGAGGGGAGGAGAGATTCACGCTGCTGGTAGAAGGGCCTTCTGCGCGGGACCGTCTGGCACTACGACGGGGCGTCGTGTCCTGTTCGTTGGCTGCTGGGGGTAGGCCTGGTGATTCAGGAGGGCTAGGGGCTGTTTTGGCCCTCGTATAACCCTGCGACTGTGGTCCCATGCCTGGTAGATCAGCCGCCGAGAAGCGTGCTTCGTGAGTCCGAGGAGGCGCTGCACTGCCGGTGTTGTAGTAGCCTGCAGGGAGATAGGCAGACCGCCTGTTACTGCTGCTGCTGCGATGCATTCCGGCGGTGGGCGAAAAGAACAGTGCGCTGTTCGAGCTGGGGGTCTTGGTGGAAGGTGACCTATGGTGTCGGTGGCTGTGACGGTGGTGATGATGCCCTCCACCACCCAGCTTCTCGAGGGTGACACCTGGTCCGGAGCTTGATCTCCTAGAGCGAGATCTTCGCTTCTTGGTGCGAAGCAGTCCTTTGGTTTCGGATGACCGAACCATGGCGGCTTGACGAACCGAACGGTTGACTGACCAGGCTACGAGGGCGCGCCAGGCCAGAATGGCGAATCCAATGGCACCAAGGACAGCTCCGACAACGATGAACAGAGTCCCCTCGGGGATCTTCGACTTCTGCATGTACGGTGCATCGGCTGTGGGGGGAACAGTGACGATGGGATAGCCACTGGTTGAGGAAGAGGAAGAAGAAGAGCTTGAGTCAGTTGACGTGGACGTAGCATCTGTCGTTGAGCTAGACGATGAGTCCGTCGTGGTTGCAGCTGAGGTGGTAGTACTGTCATCTGACGAGGTTGTCGCAGAGTCCGTAGATGAAGATGTGTCCGCCGTTGTGGCGGCAGTGGTAGTAGACTCGTCTGTGGTGGAATCCTGAGCGACTGAAACTTGCGCGACAAAGACAATGATAAACAATAGAAGGAGTATGAATGAAGGCTGGCGGGCCCTTGAGAGGCCCACCGACAGGGCTACCATGGTTGATATAGACTCCTGGGTATCTAAGTATCAGATCGAGGGGTAACGAGAGTTCGTAGAACCAGCAATGACCGGTGCAATTAGAGTTAATGCAAGAGATACAAGTTCATAGTCAAGAGGGATCCGAAATCGTCAGCAAAACAAGAACTGAATCGGATGTCTCTGGTCGTAGATTGATTGCATGGATAGCGGGTGTCTCCAGGCAGGCGGGCGGGACTTAATATCGGTCTCCACCCAAAACAAGAGGGTCAACAAGCGATGGATGCAAGGGTAAGACGGTGATCACCGAGGTAGGGCAGACAGCCAAACGAGGGACTACAGCGACAGCCGCTGTGCGGTTGATCCGTGTCTTGAGGACCCCCCAAAGCGAGCGATGAGCATAAAGAGAGTGGGCAAAGACGAGGTCTTTGACAGCCAAGCGGTGGTTGCCCCGTGCCATCCTCGGCCGGCCTGAGGCTTCCACACTATGGGCCCACGTGATACCCAAGTTATTCTTAGCGGCGAGGTAAGTTCAGGCTATTGGGCCATTCCCTTAATTATTAACTCTAATGTGAGACATTCTAGGATTCGTCATCAATCATGTTCGATGGTTAGATATCTACCTCGACTCCCAAACGATACCTAGTGGGGTGCCACTTTCACTCGTACAATATGATAGATTCCACAAATAAGCAAACGCCGCTTCGCTGATATACAGCCTATTCATAATATAGCAAATTATGCAAAGAAGAAGCAAGACTAATGACACGAATCTGGAAGAACAACCGCTAATCACTGCTGCTTCTTCTGCACAGCGGCCGATGTGTCCTTCTCGAATGCTGCATAGGGAACCTCCAAGCTCAAAAGAGCAGACAGTCCGACATAGAAGATCATCAGGAACACCAGGGTCGCGAGAATTCCCATCCAAATGCCTGTTAACGGTCAGATTATGTCTTGCAGTGGCTTGATTTCGGTCTACATACCGGGTGTAAAGAACTGGTATTCCTGGAAAAGAGTCTTGTTGGACGAAGATTGACTGTCATGAGCAGAGTAGTCGCGCTTGAGGTCCATGTGAAGGGGATCCTGTTCCGCTTGGTAGAAATCGGAACCGGTGTCTTCGAGTTCCCTCGGGGAAGTGACGTAGAGGATCGTGTAGCCCTTGGACTCGGGAAGTCGGTCAATGACGTTGAAGAGCAAGCCATCTGCAAAAACAATAAGCATCTCTCCGGGAGTAGTATAGAGGTTTGGGCCACCAACCGTTGTTCGAAAGCTGCTTCTTCCGATCATGTCCCGCAGGCAGGACAGGCAAGTCAACAACGATGATGCGGGACTCCGCATCGAAGTCGGCAGAGTGAGAATCAGCTATAATCATTTGCTGTCAGTCATGTCCTTCATCTATCGACCACTCAGCCACAAGTGAGCACCTACAGGAAGCGTCGATCAAGGTCGATTCAGCCCCGCACTCCTTCTCGAGCAGCTTCTGGACATCCTTCGCCTCAATCTCGCCCACAACTTCATTCACGATCGTCTTCGTCCGGATGTTCTTGTCCTTCCCCGTCATCTTCCCACCGAGGCGCGGTGCGGATTGGCGAGTAGCGAAGTCGGTGCTGTGCACACCGGGCTGAGAAGCAATAACATAGTAGTCGGAAGGGCAGCCACTCAGCCCCGTGGACAGATCTTCTAAGATAGCGGGAGCAGTCCGCAGCTGTGCCGACGTAGAAGGGATCCTGTAGTAGCTTGTTAGCTGGACACTCTAAGGAAGTCCCGCAATCGAGCAAGTGTCACGCATACTGGGAGGTCGATGCAAGGAAAAAGGGAGAGGTGTCGCGGATTGCGTTCGCCGTCGTCGCTCCCAGAGCGAGCAGCGAGAAGGTTCCCAAACGCATGGTGGTGTGATAGGGGGGTAGCTATCAGACGAGCGGACGGCTATCTAGAGAACCTCCGGGAGGAATGAATGATGATGTTGGAGCCAGGCTGGTGGATTGGCCGACGACGGCTCGGAGGCGGTCGAGCCAACCACCGGCACGGCTTAGCTCGACTTGTCCCCGGCCGTGACGTTCTGGCAATGCGGCCGTTTTGGAAATTTTTCCTGAACTAAAAATCCCCGCCTCAGAGAACAACATCACTTCGTCCATAATTATAGACAATTTATTCTAATTGTCTCATATATAAAATCATGGGGCCAGCAGCAAAAAGGAGAAAGGTGGCCAGCAAAGTCGAAGAAGTTACCTTCGACGCTGCCGATCGCCAGCAGTTTCTCACAGGCTTTCGCAAGCGCAAACAACAACGCATTAAACATGCACAAGAGGTGGCCGAGCAGAAGGCCCGTGAATTGAAGCGTGAGGAGCGTAAAAGGGTACGTCTATTCGCCGGTGATCAGTTTGCTTAATTGCACCGGAACTAATTTTGCTTGCAATTTAGATTCGCGAAGAACGAACCGCAGACTTCCAGCGCGCTATCGAGGAACATAAAAAACAACTCAAGAGACTGAAGGAGGAGGACAGTGAGGAGGACAACTCGAGTTCGGGAAGTGGTGATGAAGACGACCAGGAATGGGAAGGGTTCGAAGAACCCCCAGCCGTGGATTATGAGGCCGAATACATAGACGAAGACAAGTACACGACGGTCACAGTGGAAGAAATGGATCCTTCCAGAGAAGGCCTACTGCGATCGGCAGGCAATGAGTCGGACGACGAGGAAGAGGAGACGGAGACGAAACCTGCACCGGACACCAAATCAAACCCGGCAGGCGAGAAGACGAAAAAGAAGACCGATAACAAACCGAAAAAGAAGAAGAAGAAGTTCCGCTATGAGTCTAAAGAGGAACGCAAGCTTACGAGGGTGAAGGAGCGCGCGGCGAAATCGAGGAAAGCCCAGGCGAGACGAGACCGCTCATGATATCCAGTCCTATACAACACAGCACAGCACATTTATGAACCAGCATTCGGTTGAGAATACAGAAGCCAGAAGGGGGGCGCTCCCAATTAAATATGCTCTATGTACCTTCACAATGACTAATATGGTAAACAATAAAAGGTTAAACAAGGTCACGGGGACGAGCGGAGAGACCGGTTGATGATGCGGATGAAGCCAGCTAGATGACACGACGAAAAAAAGATACAGCTAAAATCCGTCTCCCTGCAGACAGGACATATAGATCAGACTGTGATGTGCAGGAAAAGAAAGCAAAGGTAAAAGTATATTTGGGGAAAAGGCTGAAATCCAGCATCTTCCGGGCCTCGGCGCCATCTCCTTTTTAAACATTGCTGATGGAGACCTCGAGGTCGTGCAGATCCTTCTGCAACTCGGCGTATTTCTTCGCCATCTCCTCGTACTTGCTCTCCCACTGGTCACGGGACGCTTCGAGAGCCTGCACCTTGCGTTCGTAGTGGCCAGCCTTGACGTCGGTTTGGCGGAGCCTAGAGCACGAGCGTAGTCAGTATATGTGTTGCTCCGTTGCGGACTCGTAAGAAAGGAGGTGCGGGGAGGGGGCGGAAATGGAAAATAGACGTACTTCTCGTTGGTCTCCCGGAGGTTCCGGTCAGCGTCCTCGGCCTCTTCTTCCAGAAGTTGCAGACGGCGCTGGAGAGCCTCGTTCTGAGTATCGTGCTGAGCACTCTGGTTGGCAGAATCCTTGGCCTCCTTGAGAGCGGTCTCGAGCTTCTCGACCTCACCCTCCAGAAGCTGGTTCCGGTGGTTGAGGGATGTGATCTCCTGCTCCTTGGCGAGGTTCTCCTGCTCCAGCGTCTTAACCTTGCTCTTGAGCTCCTCAACCTTCTCCTGGGCCTCCTCAGCCTCGAGGCGGAGGTTGTTCATTCTCTAGAATCATGGGGGTCAGCTTTCGGATATTTCCAGTTTATTCACACATTTCTGTTTGTGGTAATGAGGATAGATGGATCATCCTGAGTGATGCGGTGGGAGAAATAAGGATGCATGTGGTGGTGCATGTTGCAGTGCCAGGCAGCTTAGAAGCTACCCCGCCAACAGGGGGAGGGGAAGGGCAAGGAAACTCACCTCCTTGATCTTATCCATGTTGGGCAGTTATTTGCAGTGTAGGAACGGGAAATATGTATGGTAGAAAGTAGATGTTTCGATGAGTTGGGGATGCGGGACGGCTTTCGCTCAGCGATAAACCAGACAGAGATGCAGTAGGGAAGCAAGTAGTCAAAAGGACAAATGGGTTTTGGGTTTAGGGAGAAAGGAAGAGAAGTGGAGGAGGGCCTTTCAGGTAAGGTTGACTTTCTTGCCTGGCCTGGCGGTCAGCCGCGACTAGTGGTTGGGCCCGATCCATTTTTGGTATGGTAGGGGATGCCATCGCCCCCCCTGGATGGGCAGTGCCACAATTGCTGTGGCTGATACTTTACCGTCCCGGTGTTACGGAATACAGTCAGTTGTATTGTCTCCACGGGCAACCGCCACGAAAACATCTCGGTTGCGTGACGCTGCATCTAGAACCATGTCGACAAGCTCCGCTCTCCTTCCTTCAGTGCTGACGCGCCGCTTCCAGCACCTTTAGCTCCGACCTCCAGTATAACCTACGCCAATCGATCTTCGCTCGTTGAATGAGCCGTGTGAATACATAACTGCCACCATGTTGGCTGTACGCGACCAAGAAAACCTGATCCACTCTCACCAGACCGTTGCCGCGTCGAAACCACTCAATCAAGGCGTGAGACATTTGCAACCCAAGACCCCCGGCGCTCGAGTACCAAAAACGCCATTCAAAGTCCCTTTGAAGAATGATGAGAACGATCCGCTGGCTTTTGGGAAGAAAACCGTGAAGGGGGGTAAACAGAAGGATAATATCAACTTGACCACGAAAAATGCCTTCATCACTCCGGCGGGTATGTAATGGAAATCTACGACCATGTTCAAGTCGCATGACTTGATCCTTACTATTCGCTATTCATGAGACTAACACACTTTGCAGCAGATCCTCGTCAGCGTGCCCCTCTTGGCATGAAGACGACAAACGCCAAAGCCAGGGGATTGCAGACGCCAGCACCTGGAGGGACGGTGAAGCCTGACAGGACCATCAAGAGAGGTTCTACGCAGAGAGCGAAGAAATTTGCTCCCTTTGTAGAGCCAAGTCAGCCAGAGGTCCAGGCGAAACCGGTAGAAGATGATGTCCCTGACATTGAGTATATGCCCCCTAAGCCCAAAGGTCAGTAGTCCTTGCGCGGGGTTTTCGCATGTATCAGGGGGTTCGTTGTGTCTGATTGATCGCAGATCTTCCTGATATCCCGGACGATGTCACTTATGATACCACCTTTCCGCAATTCCAGCCGAAAAATCTCGCCCTAGGACTGGAAAGTGTGTATGGTGATAATGACGTTGGCCCCGATGGGCTCACTAAGCGCGAGCGGAAATTCCAAGAAGACTCAGCAGCTTGCGACAGAATGGTTGAGGAAATGATTCGAAAGCAAGTCGAGAGCATTGGCTTCGAGGAAACATACGAGACCGTTCCAATCGAGGAGCCGCCTGCAGCAGACGCTACGCAACGCCGAATTCAAACGCGTTCACGAACGAGAGCGGCCAACAACAAGACGAAACATACCAGCAATATCTCCACCATCCGAGCTCGTGATGCTGCTGCTGCCTTGTCCGGGACACAGCGTTCTGTTCCACGCACCAGACCGGCTGTTTCGGCCAAGCCTAGGGTTACATCTGCCTTGTTCCCGTCTAAGAAACCAAGAGAGCCAACCAACCCGTCGAGTATGCGTCAAACGGCCGCTGCTGCGACTTCCCAAACGACGGTGGGATATAGTAGGGGCCGGGAAGTGTCGACCAAGTTACATGGTAGGACGGCTAGTCCAACAGAGCTGGAGACAGTCCCCCAAGGAATCCTTTCACCCGACACCTATCTGCAGCCCTGCGGGACTCCACCATTGATCGCCGACACGATTGGGCTAGAGTTGGAGAGTGCGGAGGGGCTTCCGACATTTGATGAAGATGAAGAAGCCCAGAACTTTCAATTAACGCTGTGACGTGAGATGTGTGAAGAACCAAGGCGAATACAGAGGTCTACTTCCGGCGTATCATATGGGATTTTATGGGTTTATGTTATTGGTAGTTGAGTGGTGTTCTTTGGTTTCCCGGTCTACTTTTATGTGTCTTTCATGTTTCGTTGCACTCGCCAACGTGTGAGTATTCTTTTCCTGACTGGCAAGAAAACAGCCATGGCAAAAGAAACCTCACGGAGCCAGCGAGATGGAGCAGGGGACTTGAAAGGGGGGCGTTATAGAAAGTTATGATGTATCTATTTACGATGGGGTTACCGTGTTATCCTGTTATGACTTGACGAGTCCCACGGAAGACCCCGGCGTGGGGCTTGTCCCTATTTGAGCATGAAATTGGGCTGTATGATTAATAGCCAGAATATTCGTAATGGACCCTCCGGTAGTGGGTGTTGCCGGCCCTCAAACAGTGGTTCCCTCCCAAGCTAACCGTTTGATGGCTCAATTGATTGAGCTGGTTTAAGGGGCACCTTCACTTGCAACGCCCATGACTAAGCCCACTGGACCAAGCAAAAGGGGCCACGCACCGCAGTTGGGTTTCAGACCCGAGGAAAAGACCAAATGCCAACCTTGGATGGGGAAGTTGAGATCGGTTATAAAGATAGTAACTGGCTAGGAGGTGTCCTGGTCCCCGACCGCGGAACGTGAGAAGGTTGTACCTGTTCTAGGTTGTTTTGCAATCAGCCAAATAAAGGATACTTTTGGCACTTAACACAAGAAAGAGAGAAGAGAGAGAGAGAGAGAGAGCCCCAATATAACTACGTACCAACTACTAATCAATACTACTAACTAATCTATGCGACGCTCACCGCTTGTCCTCCCGGGCGAGACCCAGTTGGACTGGACCACTTCGTCTAGAATCCATCCTTGGAAACTTGTCCAAGCAATCAACACTTCTTCTCCCCAGCCTTACAGCAAAAGCTGCAGCTGCTGCAGGAGTGTTCATGTAGTG